AAAAAAAAAAAAAAAATTAAGTCTATTGGTTTTTCCAAAGTTTAAAAATAAATTAAAATAACAGGGGTATAAATAAGATAAAATATCATGTCTTCTGTTCATAATCAATTGTCATGTCGAAGCAATACCACTCTTTGATTTTAGAAGGCTATGATTTGTTAATGCAATGGATAGAACAACACGAACAACCTCTCCCTCTCGAGGCAGAACAAGTGTTTCAGAGAGCCACTACCATCATAGAAACCATTCAAGACTTATGGTTACAATGCCTGGCCCTGTTACATCCTCCCAACCTGGGGAGACTAGCTACACTGCATTTTCTATGTCAACGCATGAAGAAACTCTGCCCCAGAAATGGTATGGGTTAAGCCTGACCCACTATCTAGGAAAGCCTTACACTTTTTTATGCCATCCCCAAGCAAGGAAAGTGATTTTACTCTGCCAGGAAATAGAATCGATGGAGAAAATATGCATTCAATACGGGATGAATTATCTGGAAATTTCAGAGAGACTAAGAAATGTGTGACTTTTAATACAGACTTGAATGAAATTCATTATTTACCACCCGAAGATCGGAAAAGTGAATGGATGACTCTAGTAGCCGATCGAATGAGATTTCAACGCAGAATTCAACATTTGGAACAATTGTTAAACCAAAAAGAAATAAAAGAATGAAAAGACACTAAGTTTTTTGTTTGTTATTGTTGTTGTTTAGTAATGACGTCATCATGTATCCGTTAGACGCTGAGTCTATAAAATCCTGGTTTATTTAAAAATCTAAACTTTCCCACTGCAAATAAAGTGTATACAATTTGTTTTTAAACCAATCTGATTCTATTCATCTCAAAATTTTTATCTGAAAAGGTCGGGATCGAAAAGATTCTTATATTCCCTATACAAGTCTATACATTTAGACGCTGGGATGTTTTGTTCTTATTTATAAAAATCTAAACTTTCCCACTGCAAATAAAGTGTATACAATTTGTTTTTAAACCAATCTGATTCTATTCATCTCAAAATTTTCATCTGAAAAGGTCAGGATCGAAAAGATTCTTATATTCCCTATACAAAGTCTTATACATTGATTTTCTGAAAATGACTGACCTTTGACCTCCCTTGTGTTTATCCCGAAACCGACGCTAAGTTTATTTTTACACTCCTAACGATTCTTTTGATCTGAAAACTATATAGACACTCTTCCCTAAGTTCAATCTTATTGCCTGCCATAAGTTTTCTTTGTGTTACACTCTCAAAAGTCTAAAACGACTTATTTTATGTATTCAGGTCAGTCAAGGTTAGCCCTTCGCTTCGGCATGAATGAGCCTGTTCTAAACAAGGGAACAATGTCATGTATGAAAAATACTGTGAAATCATTCTCGAAACTTACCTTCATTCTTTTACTAGAAGGTTTGAATGTATATATAATTCCATAATATGTTATTTACTCCAATAGAGGTATTCACAAAACACAAATAACACAATTTTGATTTTTCCATGATTTTCTGAGCTCTTCTTCATCCGGGCTTTTAGGGTGCTCTCTTTTAGGCTCGCGCTGTGTGTATAAATACCGACGCTGATCAGCTGTTAACTGTCATTCGTTAGCGAGCTGTTCCAGCGACACTACAAGGAATTTCGACATGTCTCTCTTTACCGAGAATATAGCCATTCAGCCAGGAGTGGAAGTGATCTTACAGATGGTGGTTCGGAACCAAGACACCGGAGAGGAGTTCGCCGTCTTCAATATGGGTAGGATCCGCGTAGGAGATCTTAGGACCTTCGTGGCAAGCAACATCTCCCGGAGAGCCGCCAGAACCACCCCCTATTCCAGGCCTTCGCCACCAGCAAGGAGCAGATAGGAGCCACGCCCCGTATACCATCCGCGGCCGGAGGAGGAGGGCAGGAACTTCGACCTGCCGGACAGTCCGGAGTCCCCCCCTTCATCTCCGGCCGGAGCAGCACTCCACCGCCTCCTCGACGGGGCTTCGTCACCGCCCCAGGACCGAGCAGGGCTGCATCCCCTTGTGGGGGATCGAGGCTTCCGTGGCCCAAGGATATTGCTGTCTTTGCTTGTGCGACCAGGAGTTATCCAACTTCCTGTGCGGTCGATGCCGCCAGAGGCCAGCCTGCTTCCTCTGTGCGGCTCGCCTCATAGATCGAGGAGAGGGCTGCCCCCTCTGTCGTTACGGGAGCCCGGAGCCCCTTCTTCCCACCCCTCCTACCCGTCCCTCAACACCCAGGGTGGGCCGAGGCCGTGGCGTGACCATTGAAGGAGGAAGAACACCAGACAACGGAGTAGTGACGGGCCGTGGACGAGGGCGACGTCCCAGGGAGTAAACCCTGAAGAAAAAAAAAAAAACAACGGTCCTTTTAAGGACCAAGTCCCAGGGAGTAAACCCTGAAGAAAAAAAATCAACAACGGCCCTTTTAAGGGCCAACCCAAATTTTACGAAAAGATACCTTTTTGATACACGGTTATAAAAGAAACGTATAATAAACGTATAATAACACCACTGATAATAACATCACTGTTTTTTTTTTTTTTTTTTTTTTTTTTCTTAAACTCATAAACACTTAAAATAATTTTTTTTTTCTTGTCAACTCATATTATTTATTTATTTATTATAACAACAACAACAACAAAAAATCTATAGACTTTCTCTCTCTCCCCCCATGTCCAATAAAAAAAAATACACACATGAAAGACAGTGATTTTCTCAAATCATTAGGGAATGTGTTTAAGTACGACTTAATTTTCTGTGTTTATGCCGCCATGATACTCTCGAGGCAAGGTTTTTATTCCTCTTTCCTGTTCAAGGCGTGTAATCCACGCTGTAAGTCGTTTAAAGTTTTTTAACACATTGTTTATTGTTGTGATTATGTTATCCCTCACCTATATGTTTTAATGTCAGCTATGCTAATGAATCCAGTTCTGCATGATTTTGAGATAATGGTTTGTCATGTGCTTAAAGTATGGGCTGCTATTCATGTCATCATTTATGGTCCATAATAAATAAAGTCTGTATCTTTTATCTTTTTTAAATATATATATATTTTTATGAATGAAATTTCATTGATTCCAGTATAAGTTAAGTCTTGATATATATATATTACTCTTTTTTTATTGCATTACATTTAAAAACATGCATTGTTTCATGTAGTATTTTTGTCATCATAACAAAAAAAAAAAAATGGATTTCATTTCTACAGTCCTCAACATTGGAAGATATGTTTTTTTTTTAGGTTCCTAACCATCTATAATCCAGTCTCTATGAAGTGAAGCCTGGGCTGTGCTCTTCCTTTTTTTGGAAACACACACAGTTAATCATCCAACATATAGAAACAAACAAAACTTTTGAAGTTTTTCAATGAGATACAAATTTTAAATTCTGTTTTTTTTTACTATACATGTTTATATATATATATTTTATATAAAAAATGGATAAAAAAAAAATGGATAAGTCAAAGACAATTGATAATGTAAATTATAATACCATAGTTGGGTAAAAGATAACAAGGGTTTTTTTATATCTCCAAGTGCTGATGATTTTTTGAATTTTTCTCCATTTTTTTAAATATTGACAATATATTACAGGGGGAAAAGAAAAAACTGTACTGTGAGCCAAACTGGATGATCTCATGGAATTTTTTAAAAAAAAATTCCTAGTGTTTCTACTGGGCTCCCCACCCACCCACCCACAAGGATCTGCTTATGAGTGCATCAGACTGCTGTGGAGGCTGAAGCATGGCACTTCATATTCCTAAAAAAGGTACTTTCAAAAAAAAAGATTTATTTTATATCACATAAAAACACACACACATACACACAGTTAATGTTTATGAAGAATGTACACATGTTTGTCATAAGTGTGTACAAATTGTTCAATATAATGTCTATAATGAGTCCAATTTCCTCCAGCTAAGCCACATCCAATCTTGTAAGGAAAAGCAAAAGTTTTATAAGGTAAATTTCCCAATTCTTGTAAACAGGCTTGAAACCATTGCTCTCTATTTTGTGGGGTGTCCTGATAAGTGGAGATTCTTTTAGGTCTGTGACTTGCTCTGCCATAATCCCATTGAGGTAATAAACAAATGACCACAGGTGTTTGTGAGGAAAACACCCTAATGGTTCCTGGCTTATCCCTGTCCTCTTCTAAGGCTAAATTTCTAGACCCTAAAGGTCTGCGGGTGGCATACAAATTCGCTTGAGGATATTTATCTGCTATACTTTGACTCAATCCATGAGCTCTGACTGTTAAACAGTTACATTGATGTACGATAGCTTCTACAGGAATGTTTAATAAATCACCCTGTATCTCCTGGAGACTCATGATCAAATGAGGCTATTTTTTTTTCTTTTTCTTTTTTTTATATATACCTTTTTTTTCTATCTATATTTAGTATCATGGGGAAAACCCCCCTTTTTTTAAAAAAAAACAACAAGAACACAGATTTTTTTTTTTTTTTCAATTCTTTTTTATTGATAACAACAACAATTAATTACATGACATTTTGATAGAAACATTGACAAGTTTGTCCATGACCCGTAGGTCTTTTATGATAAGTGTCTTTAAACCATTGAGCTACATAATGATCTCTTTGTAAAGCTGTACTATGGTCAAAGGGAAATAACCACTCGTCTGCTTTCTTTCTCAACTTGTGTCTTTGATGTAAATAATACACGCAATATTGTCCACACACATCGGTCTTCCAATCTTGATATCGATACGGATTATAAATCCATTGGTGAGCATGACGCTGGATAAAGTCTTGAATTTCTTTCTGTAAGGGAGGAAATCCATAAGAGTCAAAATATTCCACCACTGGACTGCTCACGTACAGACACACCCAGTGTTCTCCAGGTTGATCTTGAGGATCCGTATTCACCACGATAGCTTTTTCTCCAAGTCTTAATTGATCCGGTAATATATCCAAGGGGTACACTCCACCAAAAGAACTCTTTAATTCTCTGGATAAGACTTCTCTCAACTGTCCCGTATCCATTAGTAATCAATACTGACTTCTCTCTGTTTGTTTATTTCTAACAGGTTATCGAATTCTGCATACACCACACAATTTAAGGTGTTCACCGTATTGTTCGTAAATTGGACTTCTATTCTCAGATTTCCGGTTTCTATGATGTGGAATTTGTCCGATTGCGCTTCTTGATCTTTGGTGAAATCCCAGCCCCACAGAGTGTATCCGTTTTTATACTCTTCTAGGGTGATGTCCGGAGCCCAATCTTCTCCTAATTTTCCCAAAGCTTGATATAGACTCAGATAAGATCTCAGATATAAATCTTCATTGAAATTGGGCTCAAAACAACGAGTACTCATGGTCTCTCCGTTGATACTGACATCTAATTTCTTAATTCCAAAGTTTTGAAAATGAAACGGATTTTTAGTTTTATCTCCGTTAAAAGCCGCATTTTCCACAAAGCCTAAAATGAGACGTTTAGGCATCTGGCCTTGAAACAGATGATCCGTAATCTTAGATTGAGTTCCTGTCAGTATGGTAAAGGTTTTCACTTCCACTCTTCTCAAAGGATATTTGGCTCTATGAGTGTTCAAACTTTGATTAATGCCATTCATCATGACGGCCGTGGGTTTGACTTTTCTCACCCACAAGACCATGTTCAATATTTTCACTTTTCACGTACTTAGTGCTTTGATCATCATATAGAACTGAGGTCTAGCTCGATTAAATCTCAAACGGACGTCTACTCCATTAGGTAGAAATCGGTCTTGTTGAAATAGATCCAGATGTAAACGATCAAACAAGGCTATTTTCTTACTATCTTTGATGGCCTGGTGACGTTTTCTAAATCCTTCGTTTCTAGAATTGGCCGGTAACTCTGGGACGATGGGTTCGTCAATGACCACAGTATCGGCACCACCCCCTGAACCTGGGGTTACATCAAATGTCTTATTTTGAGCCACTCCAAGGTCTGCTACCCCCACTTCGTCCATGTGTCCTGCCGTATCTTTTTCCCACAGACTACAGGCTCTCATCTGGGTCATTAAAGTTCTGGGTTTGTAAGAAAGTAATTTCTCCATATAAGCTTTGTAAGGATAAGTATCGGTTCCCGGAGACACTATTTTTCCATTGACACTGAGATCGATTTCCGTAAACAAGGAATGAAAGATATTATTCACCGGGGCGCAAGTGGTGTTAGCTCCAGTCAGATCAGTACCATCGTCTTTGGTAAATTTACACACCATTTGAACATACGTTTGAGATAAATCCAGATATTGATCTCCTTGTCCTTTAATTTCAAATTCAATGGGAGCCGTATCCGAATTTAAAGTACTAGAAATGGGGTAATATTCTTCCCATTTGGAGTCTTCTAAAGCAATATTGGTCGGGGGGACTTGGAACAATTGTAAATTGTTCATCCCACAGGCACAGGAATCTGGTTGCAACATGATGTCTGTCTACTAAGATGGATTTTTCACAAATGAAGGTCAATCTCACTCGACTTTCCTATTTATAGTGTCTCTCAATCAAAGATATCTAAACCCCTTTTTCTCTTCTTAGGACCTCCTCGGGCTAACACAGGTGTTTTTTTTCTTCTTCTTCTTTTCTTACCGAGATTCAATCTTTGTTTCAGGGCTTGTACTCCGTGAGTTTTGACAGCGTCTTTTAAAGATCTCTTATTTTCTAACACGTCTAACCCCGTTCTAGCGGCAGCGGTCAAGGCATGTTTGGCTCCCTTTTTCAGTAAATTTCTCACAACTCCTCTCCCTCTCTGCCGTCTTCTTCTTTTTCTTCTCCCTTTACCTTTTTGACCTTTCTTATTCATCTTTTTAAAAGCTAGACTTCCTCCTCTATTGAGAGCAAATAAGCCCGTATTTTTAACGGCATTGAGTCCATGAGTTAAAAGAGCATTTTTGATATTTTTCCTTTTTTTAATCACATCCGCTCCTATTTTAGCTCCGGCAATCAAGGCTTGATTACGACCCATTTTGACTAGATCTTTAAGAAATCCTCGACCTCTTTGTCGCCGCCGGCCTGAGCCTAATTGGACAGCTTCTTTTAAAGTCATCCCTATAGGTAGGTTCGGTACCATTCCCGAAAGAAAGTCTATAAAATTTCCTCCTCTTTGAGATCTCAAATGCTGGCGAATTCGCCTAAATTTGGGTAGAAGCAAACTGTCTGGAAGAAGATTTAGTATTGGAAATCCAGTAGGATTAGGGGTAAGGGCTCCAGCCAATCCAGAGATAATTCCACCTACAACACCGTGTCCTTTTTGACGTAATAAACCTCTATGATAGACAAACTGTCCGTGTCCTCTTTGTCTCAATAATCCTGGATGATACTGCATGTTTTCATGACTCGTGTCAGACTGACCTAAATGCACTCCGGGGACTCCTTTTTATACCCCTTCCTGTCTTAAGGTTGAATACAATACAGACAGCATATCAGACAAGTCATCACTCCCAATAGGGTGTAACAAAAAAGATGTACACTCATCTCAGTACACTTTTCTGAAATGAAGTTTCACGACCGATTTTCCATTTAAAAAAGGCATGGGAGTCCCTAAAGGAGTCATGATATGAATCTCAATGCTATCGAAATGTTTTTTACTCAGTTTCAAATATTCCGCTCTAACGGGTTCCCATTTAGCTTGTTTTTTATCTTCCAGATTGGGTGTACAAGGAACCACTCTTAATAATTTCAAGGCATTGGATCCTACCGTCTGGGGTTCAATCAAGTCACAATACACGTACATGGAATTCAGATTTCCATATAAATCGACGTTATGGTTGCCCATGTAACTCACGTTGATCCATTTGGTTTCTGTATCGTTCTGAAGCATCACCTTCTTACTTTCTATTCCTAACTTATAAGCTAAGGCTGTGGGAAAACGAATGCATAAGGGATATTTTCTAAGTTCTCTCCCCGTAAACTGATACATCACTTTATCATATTTGTCATGATAGGCTAATTTCATGACATTCTCTTGTCTAGGATCACCCAAAAACTTCCATAATTTATTCAAAGTTCTTTCCAGTCCAAGACTGATTTCATTTGTTAAAGCCATGGGATGAATGTAAGGCCCCGGTCTAAAGTGAATTCGTTTAATTTCCATCTTCTGGTCTTCCGTTATGAGATTAGCAAATTCAGTATGGTCCCAATCTAACAGTACAGGACATTGGCTTAATGGCATCGCCTCTATGGTTTTCATTTTAAATCTGCCCCATTTAAAGGCACTAGGTTCTTGGAGTTTTGGAACATAAAACTGAGGAAGCAGGATGTCAAAATAAGCTTCCTCTTCTGTGATGTTTTTCAATGAAATGGGATACATCAATTCTGTTAAAGCCACTTCCCATTGTCCATCTGTTAAATCTACTGTTTGTGCTAATAAGGTTTTAAATTGAGCCGTCGTATTACTCGGAAAAGATTGCATGGACCCATCACTGGGTAAAGTCATGTAAAAGCCACTGCTCTCGGCCATGTTCAGTGAGATACTGAGACAAAATAACTTAGGACCCTTCTATTTATAACAACACTTTTTGGGGTTTTTTTTAAATTTTTATTGAGTTTTTTTTTTTTTACACTTCTTCTTCTTCTTCTTCTGATCTGTAATCAATCACTCTGTCCAAAACACCAGGTCCTTCCTTCTCCATATTGTCTTTGATCTGGGAAAGGGGGATGCGACAATACACGTACTGTTTAACGTCGTGATAATCTGAAAAGGTCAGTTCTTTTTTCTTCATCTTGAAAAAATGTCTCACACACTCTGCTATGTCGGAGTACCAGAGACTTTCGTTCAGAACCAGGGTCATCGGTGTCGAACGATTCATAGGATGAGTACAGCTGACCCATTTATATTGCTCGTAATGCTGGTTGAATTTCACCCTCACTCTAGTTCCTTTAGGATGCGGGATTTTGACTCTTTTTTCCAGCCACACGTCTTCCAGGGAATGTCCTGGTGATTTTCAAAGAAATCCAGGATCGCTCCTACTTTAGTTTTCATCCACCCTCCTTCCATGTAAATAAACCGAGTGACGGTGCTCTCACAATACCAACGATACTGCATCTTTTTTAAAACACGTCTGACTTGGACAATGAACTTTTTCAGAATGAATGATTTTTTGGGGGTCATACCTCTTTATATAACCTTATCCAATCTATTTTTAGCATCTCAGGAAAAACCCAACAACAGTTTTTTTTTTTATTTTATGATTTATTTCCTTCATATCTACATAATGGACAAAGTCTGTAGCAAATCTTGACGAAGTTCTCGACACATTTCACACAGCATGGATACTGTCGGCATTGTTGGCACTTCCATCTCCCCTCCGTATTTTCCTCCCAGCAGGTCAGACATTTCTTTAAGGCTCTCTTCCTGGTCACTTTGACCCATAGGGGCACCATATTCTCTGCCCCGTACTTCCATGTGAAATATTTCACGCACCATCTACATCCACAGGTCTCCATGGAAGGGGGATCATCCACAAACCAGTGAGGAAAAGCCATTTCACAATGCTCGCAAAATTGATAAGTTCTGTGATGCCATCCTGGATGATCATACACCGTAAATGTACGTTCATGGATCATCTCCCTATCACAGTAATGACAGTAATACTTTTCTACCTCAAAGAAATACTTCAGTCTCCACATAAAAATCATGATGAAATGTGGTGGTGGTGGTGGTGAATTTTTTTTTTTTTTCACAAAAAAGCTCAGCTTTAAAAATACCTCTGGATCTGACTATTTACAGTCGCTTTGTGAAATTTTTTTTTTAAAAAAAGCTCAGCTTTAAATACCTTTGGATCTGACTATTTATAGTCGCTTTGAAAAAACCCACACGTGCTTCACACGTTCTTACTCTATTTAAGTCTATTGGTTTTTCCAAAGTCAAAAAATAAATTTTTTTAAGTCTATTGGTTTTTCCAAAGTCAAAAAATAAATTTTTTAAGTCTATTGGTTTTTCCAAAGTCTAAAAATAGATTTTAAAAAAAAAAAAACCTCAGGTTTTTACCTAGGGCATAAACTTGGCACCGATTCAAGTCATCAAGCTGCCTATTGTGACGTCATCACATGTATTCAGCTGAGAAAAATAAGACCTGGTTTGGTTTTATAGTTTTTTTTTTTATTATTATTATTATTATTATTGTTCAAATCGACACAAGGGACAACTTCTGTAAGAAAGCCGTATAATGGACTTGTAACACTTTTCACAGCAGGGATATTTCATACACTGTTGACATTTCCATTTTCCTTGGGTGTTTTCTTCCCAGCAGGAGGGGCATCTCTCGATCTTGGTATTTCTTCTCATGCGCTTAGCCCAACGTGGCATCATAAAATCAACCCCATATTTCCACAGGTAATATTTCAGGCACCAATCACAGCGACAATACCACAAACTAGGGGGATCGTCTACTTCCCAGTGAGGTATACGTTCTCCACATTCATTACATCCCCAATACCAACCAATAAGGTCGTCTTCACTGTCATACTCAGGTAATCTGCTGATCTCTCTCAACTGCCTATGGCAATGAGGACAGGCACTATTTTCTTGGTGAAGAAAATACGACATTCTCCACACAGAAGGCATGATTGAAAAAAAATGAGCACAGTGAACTCAAAGCTAAGATTTATATATATACCTTGGGATATCTATTTT